AGGGCCGACAGGGCAGGACCCAGTAAAGAGTCTCTAGCTGATCCTATGACTGACGCAGCAGGGAAGTCTACACCTGACGCAGCAGTGAATTCCACGCCTGACGCAGAAGGGGATCCTAGACTACACATAGCAATGGCTCCTAGGCTATAAACAGCAGGATAATAAGCACCAGCAACAGTAGAAGCATCAGAATACGGAGAATACAGGGCCAGATCGATCTGAATCATATCCATATCAAAGATAGGAACCCCACGATGAAGCAAGGCATGCCAGGGGGGTACCTGCACCAACAGGCCAAAGTGACGGCGGTAGAGGTCGTCCAGGCGGCGGAGCAGCGAGCGGTGGTGTGCCCCGCGCGCCCGCACACCTGGCCCGTCTGTGGGCCGGTCAATAACTGGTACGTGCAGGTCACCGTGCCTCCAGAACCACCAGCACCCTGAATCACAAAAGAGACACACGACCTTTAGGGCACCGACTGCCCTAGATCCCAACCCCCACGGCCTCAACCACGACCACCACCCCTAGGGCCCGCCAGCCCCCATGGCTGCTGCTGCTGCGCAGTCTTCGACTCCGACTGACCACCCTCTCCGTCCGCACGCGCACCCCCTCCACCCGCTGCACCCGACCCCCTAGGACCCCTGCCCCCCTTGCACTTGACCTTGCCGCCAGAGGAGCGGCCGGGGGCAGAGGCAGCCGCTGCAGTCTCAGCTACGGAGGCGGAGGCAGGAGGGACAGTCACTAGGGAAGGAGCGCTGCCCCGAAAGATAGGGACTGCCGGCGCGCCAGTGGAACCAGCGATGGCACGGAGGCGGTCCACAACCTCAGTCAGGGAGGTGGACAAGAGGTCAAGGGTGAGCTCAAAGGGGTGATGAGCAAGGAGCGTGTCAAGGGTAGGGGCTAGGCGGTCGAGGAGGCGGGTGACAAGGAAGTAGACAGTGGCGAAGAGTGGGGGCGGGGCGAGTGCTAGGTGGGCTTCAGTACAGGCCGCACGCCACGAGCCAAGAGGGAGTGCTGGTGCTCGACCAAGTCGGCTACAGTGGTGAAGGACGTCAAGTCAGGGTGGAAGAAAGGGAGGAGACGACCAAGAGTGGCAGATGACAGGGTGGAGTACCTAGCAAGGATAGCCAGCCATAGGGCGCAGGCTGACGCAACTCCCACAAAGTGGGAGTGCTCGTCAACCGGCAGACACCTGCGGATGGCGACACGAGCAGTGGCGTTACGGGATGCCCAGTCAGAGTAGGCAGTACTAGCAGTAGCGTGCACAGCTTGCTGCGCAGACGCCGCGTCAGCAGCAAGAGCGCCCGTGCGGTGGATAGCAGGGAGCTCACCAGAGACGTGGGCGTCCAAGGATTCGTCATCGACGCGCTGACTCGTGAGCTGTAGGAGAATTGCTTCCTGCCACGCGGCGAAACTGACTGCCCGCCCCTCCCCATCCAAGCGCAGAACGAAGACGCTGGGCGATGCCATGCCGGAAGCTGCGGCCGTGAAGACAGAGGCGGCAGAAGCAGGAACAGCGGGGGCAGCTGCTACAGGGGCAGCAGGAACAGGGTCTGCAGTGGGAGTCCGTGGCAGCGGCGGCTGCTAGCTAGCAGCGGGGTGGCGACGGCGGCGGGCCAGCAGTGAGCTGGCTAGCGGAGGCGGCTGCACGGCTACGGGCTAGCCGCGGCAGTGGTGGCAGCAGCGGCTGCAGTGGCAATGGCTGCTGGCAGCAAGAGCAGCCGCAGTGGCAGCTGCAGCGGGAGAGAGACGGCGGCAACAGTTGCTGCAGTGGCAGTGGCAGCTGCAGGAGGCAGTGCGGCAGCTGCACGGGCAGCGGCGGCAGAGATGGCTGTAAGGGCAGCTGCGGCAGCAGCAGCTGCATGGGCAGCGGCAGCAGCGGCAGCTGCAAGGGCAGCGGTGGCAGTGGCGGCTGCAAGGGCAGTGGCGGCAGCGGCTGCTGCAGCGGCGGCAGTGGCGGCTGCAAGGGCAGCGGCGGCTGCAAGGGAAGCGGCGGCAGTGGCTGCTGCAAGGGCAGCAGTGGCAGTGGTGGCTGCAAGGGCAGAAGCTGCAGTGGCAGTGGCGGCAGCGGCAGTGGCAGCGGCGGCAGCGGCAGCGGCGGCAGTGGCGGCTGCAAAGGGCAGCGGCGGCATTAGCGGCTGCAAGGGCAGCGGCAGAAGTGGCGCTGCAAGGGTAGCAGCTGCAGCGGCAGCTGAAAGGGCAGCAGTGGCAGCGGTGGCTGCAAGGGCAGCGAGGTAGCGGCGGCTGCGAGGGAAGCAGTGGCAGCGGCAGTTGCAAGGGCAGCGGCGGCAGTGGTGGCTGCAAGGGCAGCAGCTGCAGCGGCAGTGGCAGCAGCGGCAGCGGCAGCGGCAGCGGCGGCAGCGCAGGTTGCTGCAGCAGCAGTGACGGCAGCGGCAGTGGCTGCAGTGGCGGCAGCGCGGCGGTAGCGGTGGCTGCAAGGGCAGCAGCTGCAGCGGCAGTGGCGGCGGATGCAGCGGCGGCAGCGCAGGTTGCTGCAGCGGCAGTGGCGGCAGCAGCAGTGGCTGCAGTGGCAGTGGCGGCTGTGGCCGTAGCAGTGGCTGCAGTGGCAGCGGCGGCTCCAGTAGTGGTAGTGACTGCAGCGGTTGCGGCAGTGGCAGGCGGCAGAGGCAGCTGCAGCAGTAGCGGCGGCTGGCTGTGGCTGCAGTGGCAGTGGCTGGTGCAGCAGCGAGCTGGCCAGGGACGAGCTGGCAGGCGCTGCTGGCGAGTAGCTGGCAGCAGGTGCTGGCGGCGAGCTGGCGGACGCTGCTGGCGGCTAGCTCGCTAACGTGCTGGCTGGCGAGCTGGCGAGCTAGCTTGCTAACGTGCTGGCTAGCTGGCTGGCGCGTTGGCTGGCGTGCTGGCTAGCGCGCTGGCGGGCGTGCTCGCTAGCTTGTTGGCCGGCGCGTTGGCTGGCGCGTCGGCTAGCGTGCTGGCTGGCGTGCTGGCAAGCGTGCTGGTTAGCGTGCTGGCTAATGTGCTGGCTGGCTCGCCGGCCTCCTGGCTGCCGTACGAAACAGCGCAAACGCTAGGGGGAGGGCGTCGAGGCTACAGTGCGTTGGAGGGCAGGTGCACGAAATTCATAGAGTTGCACACGCGCGAAAAAAAAAAAAAACAAAACAAAAAAAAAAACAAAAAAAAAAACTACAGTAACGGCGGAAGCGTGAGTAACAGCGGAAGCGTGAGTAACAGCAGAAGCGTGAGTAACAGCAAAAGAAGAAAAATCTAACCTAGCTCAATACCATGTTAGAGTTCTTAGAAACTTAGGACTCAAGGTTCTTAAACTTAGGAGGCTAGGTTGGCTAGGATACTAGGAAGAAGGCCGCCATGGAATAGCGTGAGGAAAACGGATCTAGGTGTCAGAAACCCAGCCACTAACCACTGGGTTAAAAGGGCTTGTTAATAGCGGGTTAGTGCGCCCATAGCCCCCCAGGCTCTGCACCTGTGGCCCTTCCCCGAGGATCTCAAGGGCAACCCCAGCGGGTCACTCAACACTAGGAAGGGAGAGAATGTCGAGAAGAAAAGGGGTTTGATTAGGAAGAGAGAGGAGTACAAGAAGGGGTTTGTACCCTCTACAGAAAGGTTCAGTAACAACCTACCAAGCCTATATTAAATTATAACTTATATAATTTTAACAAGAGTAGCAGGAAAAAGTGTGACTAGGAAGAGGGGAGGGGAGATACAAGTACAAATATTGTCCCCTCTAAGAACTGATCTAGCTAGGCTATAAAAAACATACCTATCAAACTTACTAGAAGGACAAAAAGTGTCAGAAACTAGCTCAGCTAGGAAGCCATAGAATGGCACAAGGTTTAGCTAGGAGCTAGGAGGAGCCATGAGAATGGCGAGAGGTTTTAGGTGCTAGGAAAGTTGAGGAGAGAAAAGATGTTGGATTAGAAGAGAGGGGAGTACAAGGAGGGGTTTGTACCCCCTACAGAAAGGTTCAGTAACAACCTACCAAGCCTATATAAATTATAACTTATATAATTTTAACACACCCCCTAGGCTTGGTAGTCACACACCCACACACACCCACACCCCCTAACCTAGCACCCCCATTCCAGCCACAGTGACAGCGACTCTAGGTCGGTCGACCCCACGGCGCGTGAGGCGGCGACGTCGACCGCAGGGGCTGCGGCGGCGACGGCGGCAGCGGCGGCAGTGTCGACAGCGGCGGCGGCGGCGGCGTGCGGCTGCGTGGCCCCGACGCAAGCGGCGACAGCGGCGGCGGCGGCGGCTTCGACAACAGCGGCAGCGGCGGCGGCACCCGCACCTCTCGGTGACGTGGCCTGGCCCCGCGACTGTGGGACGGCCGGCGGGAGTCAGCCATCGTCTGCGGAATGGAAGAGGGCGCAGGGGAAGGAGGGGGGGTGGGGGGGGGGGGCGGCGCCACAGGCTGACATGCGGGCGGCCGGTCTAGCGGCGCCACAAGCGTCACGCGGCCGGCTGCAGCCCGACGACGCCGTCATGGAGCGGCGTCGATGCCGCAGCGGGGCGTCGACGCTGCGACGGCAGCACGACGTCGCTGGTACGCCGACTGCGCGCTGTCGCGTAGACGCCGCGGCAGCGTGACGGCGCCGTCACGTCGCGACAGCAACTTGACGCGACGGCGGAGCTGCGGCACGACGGCGCGGCCACAGCAGCTGGACGCGGGCGCCATGGACGTCGACAGCGGCGCCGCGGCACGACGACGCGGCCACAGCAGCTTGACGCGGCCGCCATGGCAGCGCGAGATAGAGAGAGAAACGAGCACGCAGCGGAAACGCGAGGAGCAGGCCCACACGGAACGAACTGCTCTAATACCATGTCAGAAACTAGCTTAGCTAGGAAGCCATAGAATGGCACAAGGTTTAGCTAGGAGCTAGGAGGAGCCATGAGAATGGCGAGAGGTTTTAGGTGCTAGGAAAGTTGAGGAGAGAAAAGATGTTGGATTAGAAGAGAGGGGAGTACAAGGAGGGGTTTGTACCCCCTACAGAAAGGTTCAGTAACAACCTACCAAGCCTATATAAATTATAACTTATATAATTTTAACAAAAAGAACCACTAGAGTACTAGTTAACATAAAACAATAAGGGAGCATTAAAAATGCTCCTACCAGCCTTTGGGTTAGGCACACACAGATGCAAATATAGTCACCACATTTCATGACCCAACACGCCCACTACAAAGAACACCTAAGCCCCACCGCACTGCACCAACCACACCAAAGAACACCTACACCGCATCGTACCGCACTGCACTGCACCACCAACCACACCAAAGAACACCTACAGAAAGCATTGCAGACACTACAGCACCAGAGAAAGGTGCAGTACAGTAATTGCTACACACAGCCCCCCCACCAAGATGTTACACAGATGCTGCACTGCCGACAGCGTTCCACACAAGCTGCACCAACCAACTAAAAAAAGCATCGCAAGCACTACACAGGTGCAATAGAGCAGATAACGCACCCATATAGCGCTCCTCACCCCATCACCAATATCTTAGATCCTTTCCCACCCCACTGCCAATATCTTGTCAAGCACGGACACTCCCCCATCCAAAAACTACCTAATGCTGAGTCCAGAAAACCTAAAGGCAGTAATGGTTGCAGAAAGGGATACACTAGAGCAGTACCAGAGAGGATGGGGGGGTGGGGAGGAAGCAAGGGGGGAAGGTGTGAGAAGGAGAAGAGAAGGGGAGGATGGGATGGGGCAGGAAGGAGAGAAGGAGAGGGTGTGGGAGAGAAGGGGGCGACAAGAACACGAGGGGAGGAAGGGGGAATGGAGAAGCATGTGATCAACCACACCTGATGGTTGATCACAACTGATGCCACCACACACAGTGATCAACCTCTCACCTCCCCTCCCTTTCCCTACCCTCTGCTCCCTTCCCTCCCCTTCCCTTCTCCCCTCTCCCCTCTCCCCTCTCCCTCCCCCCTCAACATACGCCCCAACCTCTCTCTAGAGCGATCGCCGCCCCAGCCATCGCAGGCCCTTCATTGCTATCAGAGAATTAGCATCCGGAATAAAGCCACCACCACCACCACTGCCGCTGCCACCACTACTTCCACTCACCCCACCACCACCACTGCCACCCACACCCCCTCCCCCAACCCGCCCATGCTTCCAAGCCGGCCCCATCATCAGCACCCCTCGCTTCCCCCTCCTCATCTTCTCCACCTCTGACAAATCACCCATGATCTCCTCTACAAGCTGCTCCATTATCATCTCTTCGAGCGAAAACACCAATGCGAGGCCCTCCCCACTCACATCCGCCCACTTATCAAGCCCTCTAGCCATGTCCCTCCTAGCAGCATCGTCCAAGATGTCATAAACCTCGTCGGACGCCGGGACCGGCCAGTCGTGCACCTCCTCCCAAACCTCCAGCAGCAAAGCCTGGCCCTCAGGCCTGGGCCGAACCAGCGGCACCTGCTGAACCGCCTCCAGCCACGGGGAAGCCTCTAGAAACGGCCGGAGCCGCCTCCCTAGAGCCTCGTTTACAGCATCAAAGAGCAGCCGGCGTTGCCGACGCTCCTCCTGCCGGCGTGCCTGGTCTGCTGCCAGCCAAGCAGGGTCCTCTGGGTGAACCCCCAGGGGAGGCGTGGGGGAGGGGCAGGAGAGGGTGATCCCGAGCTCGAGTTGCTCGAAGACGGGAGGTGGGATGGGCAGGTGCAGGGAGTGGATTGGCGGGTACGGCAGGTTCTGCTTGTACTGCTGCTGCTGATACTGCTGCTGCTGCTGGTACTGGTACTGAATCTGCTCCTGCTGCTGCTGCTGCTGCTGCTGCTGCTGCTGGGGGTGCAGGCCAACAAAGCCTGACACGACCAGAATATGGCGGAGGTACTCGAGGTCCTGCTCCATGCCCTCGATGTCCCCCAGGCACTCCATCAGCCCGGGGTCCGTGAGCAGGTCCATGGGGTCCACGGCGTCCACGGGGGACGTGGGAGTGAGGGGGGCCAGGGGGGGGGTCATGGGGTCTGCTGCTGGCGGCTGTATGGTTTTGGCTTGGGAGGTGGGCGCAGGGGGAGGAAGAGCAGGAGCAGGGGTGGCTGCTGCTGCTGCCGCTGCTGCTGCTGCAGCGCTGGCAGCAGCAAGAGAAGCCATGCTGCTGCCGCTGCTGCTGCTGCTGGCCTGCGGTGCAACAACGCTGGCCCTGCTGGCCCCCACGCCTGGCTGCTGCCGCTGGTGATGCTGCTGGTGCTGCTGCGCGTGCAGCATACCAGCAACCCCAGCAGGCGGCATCTGCTCGGGCTTGCGGGCAGGGGGAGTCGACAGGGCGGCCTTGGGACCACCACCAGATGCACTAGAGGCAACAGAGGCGACAGAGGTACCAGAGGAACCAGAGGCTACAGTGCGCCGGGGGGTGTCAGCAAGCCCCGGAACCACAGCAGCAACAGCGGCTGTAGCGGCTGTAGCAGCCGCAGCAGCAGCCACAGCAGCAGCCGTTGCAGCAGCCATGGCAGCACCTTTGGCAGACACAGCAGCAGCAGCAGCAGCCTTAGCCGCACTACGCTTCTCAACGTATCCATTCTTCATGCTGACATTTCCACCTGTTTCACCCACCTTCCCAGCAGCAGCAGCAGCAGCACCACTGCTAACACTGCCACCACTGGCAGCGCTGACAGCACTGACAGCACTGGCGGATCTAGCTGCATTGCCCGTAGTATCCCCACCTCCTGTGAGCTTCCCCATCATCAGCCAAGACTTAGCCGGGACCACCACATCCACCTGCCCCGTTCCCACCTGCACAGGTGCCACCTTCCCGTTCACAACCCCTTGCGCCTGCTCTGGCTGCCTTGGAGCACCGGATTCCACCTCCTCTTCCCCCTCCTCTTCAACTTCTTCCTCCTCCTCGCCTTCCTCTCCCTCCTCGTCTTCCTCGTCTTCCTCCTCCTCCACCTCTCCCTGCGATAATGCAACCACTGCTGAGTCAATCAGCCCTTCGGCGCCTTGTTCCCTCTCCCCTCTCTTCAGCGCACTTGCACTGCCCTCCACTTCCCCATGCTCCCCCTTTCCCTGCTGCTCCTCATCCTCCTGATCCTCCTCCTCTTCCTCCTCCTCTTCCTCCTCCTCCCCCTCCTGCATCTCCTGGTGCTGCTTCCAGTCCAGGGATTTAAGTGGCCATCCAAACTGCAACGGCCCTTCATCTTCCTCCTCCTCCTCCACCTCCAAAACCTGCCGGCTAGCCGCATTCCCACGCACATTACCAGCAGCAGCAGCAGCAGTAGCAGCACCAGCACCGGCAGCAGCAGTAGCAGCACCAGCACCGGCAGCAGAGGAAGTGGCAGAGGAAAGAGCCCGGGTGAAACCAGCCAGCTCCAACTCCAAACTTGCGCTAGTGCCCGCTCCCGCTTCCCCTCCCCCGCCTCCCGCTCCTCCTGCTCCCCCTCCTTCCCGTCCTCCTCTCTCCACTCCGCCGCCAATTCCCGCAGCAGCAGCGACAGCGGCGGCGGAAGCTGCGGCGAGGGAGTAGGAGGGGGAGAGGGCGGCGGAGGAATAAGTCCCCGAGGCGGAGCAGGAGGAGGAGACGGAGTATGGGGAAGCGGAGCCGTCGAGCGGGGCTGACTGCAGGGCCGGGGAGAGAAGGTGCGGAAGAAGCGCGGGGGAGATATGCTGCGCGGGATGCGCAAGTGAGAGCGCCGCTTGCGACTGCGCTTGCGCCAGCGCCTGACTGGATGCGGGGTCGAGCAGCGGAGACGCGGAGGCGGAAGCAGAGGCGGAGGAGGCGGAGGGGGCGGAAGGGGTGGGGGAAGAGGAAGGCGAAAAAGTGGCGGAAAGGGAGGCGGGGGGAGTGACAGCGCTAGGAGTGTTGGTCGCGCCAGTGCCACTGCTACTGCCACTGCTCGTCGTTGCTGTAATAATGCTTGGTCCCGAGCTGCTGGACGCGCTATAAGACACCGCGACACTAGCAGCAGCGCTAGCGACCGCCTCAGCACCACCAGCACCAGCGCCGGCACCAATGGTTGCGGTACCATTTTCTGGCTTGCGCAGCGCGACCGGCGCAAAAGGAGCAACGGGGGGGGCGGCAGGAGCGGCGGCGGGGATACAGAAGCGGCTCTTGTCTGCTACGGATGCCGCAGCCGCCAATGCCGCTGCTGCTGCTGATGATGATGATGATGATGATGCTGCACGTGCTAGAGGGAGGGAGGCCGAAGCAGTGAGCGGAGAGGAGGAGGCGGAGACGGAGGCGGAGGAGGCGGAGCAAGAGGCGTCGAAGCTGCTGCCGAGAGCCGCGGCGGACGCGGACGCTTCGATCCATGCCGCGACTACACTCGCGCGAGACGCCACCTGCTGCGCCTGCTGCTGCTGCTGCTGCTGCGCCAGTTGCGCCTGCGCCTTGCGCGCAAGCGGAATGCGCGACGGGGAAGAGGATAGCGCGGGGGAGAACAGCTCCGCCGCCTTATCGTCCAAGCCCGCGCCCCCGCCCCCGCCATTCCTGTTCCCGCCGCCACTGCCGCCGCCTCTCGCTGAAAACCGCCCGTTGGCGGCCGCCGCCGCCGCGTGCTTCGTCAACGCACTCCGTGCTGGCGAGCCGCTCACGCCAGTCAAGTCCGGCGATGCATCAGCGCCGTCAATTCTATCCGCGGAGCCGGCGCGATAGCCGGCGGGTTTCGCGCCGCCAGCCGGCAGCTCCATCGAGCTCGAAGCGGAAAGCGAGCCGGCGTAGCCTGCAATCCCGCTCCCCACGCGCTTCCTCCCGCCGCTTCCGCTTCCGCTCCCGCTTCCGCCGATGGCGCCAGCACCTCCGCGGACATCCGCTTCCGCGCGCAGGGCCGCGGAGGACCCCAGGGGCGGGGAGAACTCGTAGAGCTTCCCCGATCCCCCGGGTACGCGGCTTTCTTCCGCGTGCAGTAAGCGCGAATGGGGGGGGAGGGCGGAATGCGCAGAGGATGTAGGGTGGGTGGGGGAACGGTGCGGGTGAAGGCGCTCCCTTCCGCCCGGGACAGGCGCACGGAGCCCGCTCATTCCGCCATACCGCGGGTTTGCGCCAGCGCCTGCGCCTGCGCTTGCCCTGCTGTCTTCCCGGTCAGCGGGCCCTGTTGATCTTCCGCGCCGACTGGCGGAGGCGGAAGCACCCTCCTTTCCCCCCTTCCCCGCGCTCCCGCCATTGGTGGAAGAAAGCGAACCGGTTGAGAGCGAGCGGGCGGGGATGGCGGAAATACTGCTCGCTGCTACGCCAGCTCCGCCTGCCGCGGAGCTCCCCGCATTGTCCCCCCGGCTGCCGCGGCTCTTCCCCGACAGCGCCCGCGCAGAAGCCATCTCCGCTGGCATTGCCGCCGGCAGCTCGTCCGTACACTTGCCGTCCAGCCCTAGCAGACTGCTCGGCACGATGCGGCTGACGTTCCCGCCGGTCGCGGCGACGCCAACTGCGGCGGCGGCGGCTGCGGCGGCGGTAGCAGCAGCGGAGGCTGCGGCGCCGCCATCGTACGCCTTCTTTCCGGCGCCCATTGCGGCGGCAGCTGCGGCGGCGGCGCTGACCCTATCGGCGGCGCGCGCTTTGGCCATAGAGGCTTGGGTGGGAGCGAATAGGCGGCTCCCCTGGGGAACCGGAGATACGCTGCGCTCCCGCCGCGACCTCCCCTTAAGCCCGCCGACTCCCCCTGCTGCGGCGGCGGCGGAGCCGCTGGCGAGTACCGCGGAAGCTGACGTGGCATGATCGCGGCCGTTGATTGCGCCGGCGGAGGCGGAGGGTTTGGACGACGAGACGGCGCCCGAGTCGCTAAATTCTAAGTCCTCCCATTTTGAGGTGGGTGAGGATGTAGCGCGGCTCGAGGACGTGCTCCCGAGGCCTAAGAGACGTCGAATGTAGACGGACGTGCGCTTCGGAGTTAACGGCACGTCAGCCTGGGGAGGTCGGAGCGCAAGAGAGGGAAACGGGTAGAAGATGAAGCTAAGGCGCTACGGGTAAAGTTAAGGCGCTAAGGTGTGTCCATAAGGGCGCGCAATTGTTAAATACGGAATGACGAGCTCCGTGAAATTGGGGAGCTATTTAAAGTCAATCTCTCACCTCGTTACTCTCCGGCGGCAGTGAAGACGGCGTGGGGTCGATGCTCTCGCTCTTGGCTATTGCGCGAAGCACGGCGCTGCTCAGGGGCGGAGGGCCTGCCACGGATGGGAACGGAGACGGGAAAAATAGGCGGGTATAGAAGATGCGAAAAATAAAGGGGGGAGGGGAGGGGAGGGGGGGGAGGAGGCAGGATTATGAGAAAGAGCGACGGAAAATGCGGCAGAGAGAGAAAGAACCACGTGTTGCCGAATCGGCAAATTTTCGATGGCACTACCTCACCAAACACGCGCGGTCATTCCCTCTTCCGTGCATTCGCTCAGCCGCATCGATGTGCCTCTCTTCACCGCTTTTCGCTCTAGGCACGCCATTCTCTTCTCCTACGCAGCTCCTATTCTTCCGCTAACCAGACTAGCGTGGCTTACTTGGGGAAGTGAAGTATGGCGCCTCCACGTATGAGCTCATGGTGTTACCGCAAGACGGAACCGCTCCCTCCAGCTGCCTCCCCCCTCCTCCTCCTCTTCCTCCTCCTCCTCCTCCTCCTCCTCCTCCTCCTCCTCCTCCTCCTCCTCCTCCTCTGCCTCCTCCTCCTCCTCTGCCTCCTCCTCCTCCTCTGCCTCCTCCTCCTCCTCTGCCTCCTCCTCCTCCTCTACCTCCTCCTCCCGCGGGTTACAATCGATCTTGTCTGCGATATACCGACACGCCCGCTCCGCTAGGGCTACTTATTTCTTCCGCATCGGCATCAAGCCCCTCTTCACCTTCCGAGTCAGCTTCGGGTCAGCGTCAGCGTCGCACGGCCACTGCTTGACACGGTCTACTACGCGCCGAAAACCCCCTTTGTCATTAACGCAACTCTAAGTTAGACGCTCTACGCCTTTAAAATATGCCTAATGAAGCGGCAGGCAATCAGGCCTTCCTGGTTCTCAAGCCTCCTTGTTTCCTATTTATCGCGCGTCGACTTGTTGCGGGAATGGATGAAAAGATCGACTTGCTTCTTTGAAGGTTCCAGGATTTTCCTTTTATTGACGGCTGCTTCGCTATGGCGTTTGACTCGCAGGGGTCGGTGGAGAGAAAAAGTGTTACTAGGCAAAACGACGATTAGGACGGTGGACGGAAATGCCACGCAGAGGCTAATCTTGAGCGGCGTTAGTAACTCGAAGAATAAGTGGCTAGCTTAGTCCGTCGTTAGAAACTAGATGCGGAGCTAAGGGTGGGATTGATCGTTACATGAGATGACTACGCGGTGACAATCTCGTTATGGACGGAGGAGAATGGCTCAACTGGCGTGCGCAGAGGAGGCGAGGAAAAGAAAAATGCCGGGAGGTGGGCTGTGATCAGGCTAACGGCCCAAGCTGAGCCGACCAGACCAGATAGGGCGATGCGAAGCAAGGGCAGGAAGGAGGATGGGTTAGCGAGCTACTCCAGTGTGAGATACAAGTGCTCAGTGTTGGGAGGAGGGGCGATTTTCTCAAGAGCTGATGGTATGGCTGGGTGGGTTAGGCTGGGCAACAGTGTTCTGGGGGTGGTGGTGTGGTACTCGGGGGGGTGCTGCTGGGGGTGCAGGAGCGAGGTTTGCTTGTGTGATGTGATGTTTGGCTGGCATGCATCCCTTTCGCGTGGGGGCCAAAATGAAGTGGGGCAAGTAAGGAGATTAGGAAATTGTCATGCGGCTCGAGGTGTTGAGCCGAGGCTGGGGAGGACGGTGAGGAAGAACTGTAGCATGAGGGCTGAAGGGCTGCGTTAGACCAATCAAATTGAAGGGCGTGTGTGAGGGCGGTTTCGGGGGGATGAATCGCGACTTGGGAAGGTGTGATTGCCTGGGGATACGCGACTTGGTCTCAATACCGAGGGTACAGCTCAGCCAAACCGCGTAATAGCGCTGCGGCAAGACATCAATTGGTGGTTTGGTAAGCCCCACAAACCTAGTGACCCAACTTTCGAGCCTAGCAAACAGAAACCGAACCACGCGACAGGTCTGGCTTGAGAAATCATGCCTACGCTTATTGGTCGGAAAGGCTGTGTTTGCTGAAGAAGGTGCTACGGTCAGGATATAAAACATTATTCGCCCCTCTTCTGAAAACTCACCTGCCCGTTTTTTTTATGAGATGGTGCACATTTGGGTGCTCTACTTGCGTCTACCCCTCCGTTTGGGCAAACATGCGGCCTGGCCCAGCTCGAATCGCGATCGTGTCACCGCAATGCACGTCCCGGCTTGCCCCTCAATTGAGCTGCGGTTCCTTCTGTGGAGAGGTTCTTGTAGCAGCGATTGCATTTGCGATATGAGACCTCGCATGTAGTCACATCCCGCAAGACGACACCTTTTTATGGCACAAGCAGCTGAAATGTTAGAAACCAGGAGCCGCATTCAGGCTGCAGTGTACTCATCTCCTACCAATTCTACGATAAACAGCTACACTCTAGTGTGGTAATAAATGTGCAAAATTTCAGGAAATCGTACAGATTCAATTCAATTAAAAAACACTCAAAATGTTGAATTCTGATTGTCAGATGCGGGGTTCCAAAATTGGGGGGCGTTTTGGAAAATCAGCAAGGTACGGTACAACGAGCACTCAGTCATGCCTGTCTACAGCCTGACTCGTCTCTGGCTCGTTTCCCCCCCTCGTTCTCCACCTGTGTCTCCTCCTGTGTCTCATAACCCGACGCCTCCGTCCCACTTCTGGTCTCATCGTCCCTCTCGTGCTCGTCTTGTCTCTCCAGTCCAGTGCTCTCACCCGATGTTGCTTTGTTCCAGTTGGGCTGAGAAAAGCCTTTAGGATCTTTCCAGATACTAAGTCCCAGTTGTACAAGGTGTTTGAGTAGTGCACCGGAAGTGTTGAGTAGTTGAACCCTTGCACTAGTATGTGAGAGCAAGTGATTGATTAAATGAAACAAGCATACAGCAATATATATAAAATAGGAAATAGAGCAGTTGTAGAATACAGTTGAAGAAACGGTTATCGAATCGCATAGCGACTCGATCGATGGTTCGGTTACCACCCTTGCAGTCGCAACAGTCAGTCGCAACCTCTGGTTGCGATCCTTCGAGTCCCTTCGTCCTTTCGTGTTCTTTCGTCCAACCTCCTCGTGTAACCTCCGTTGACTCGCGTACTTGATACAACACTTCCTTCGGGTGTAGTGTTACACTTCAGAAACGCTTAAGTCTTCAAGGTATTTCCAACACTCCCCTTCGTTTCTGGAGTGCTGACGTGTTCGGATTCGATGACGTTTATCTGCCCGGTCAGCAGCATGCAGTAATCGAACTTTGCCTTCGCTAGTTTCTTCGTCAGGTAATCTGCAGCCGTTTCTGTTCTGGAGCAGTAACTGAGTTGAAGTCTCCCGTTCGTGATTTCATCATTGACGAAGAAATACCGCAGGGCGATGTGCTTGGTTCGGTTGGCGAACCTGTTTTTGTTCGCGATTTTGATCGCGGATTGGTTGTCGCAGAATAACGAGATTTGTGCATGGTCGTAATTTTCGCTTCCTCGTGCAGCTCCCGTAGGTAAAGTCCCTCGGTAGATGTAGCCCGTTCTGGAGCGACACTTCTCCCTATCTTCCGCGTGGTCGGCGTCGACATAGTCGAGTAGCTGTACGGACGATGGCGTTACTTTGCTGTAGGTAACTCCGAGCTGTCAAACATGTGTATATCTTATGTTTGAATAGACTGTATAGGGTCACCTCTTAGAGGGTACAACACTTAGGTATATTCTCTTGTACTCTCTCTTTCTAAGCATGATTCAGTTTTGAGATGGTATCAGCAGTAGGTAGGTCCCAGTCCACCCACGCTTCCGCTCTAGGACCTACCCGCCCCTCCTAGCCGTGCCCGCCCTAGTCGCGCCCGCCCTAGTCGCGCCCGTCCTAGCCGCGCCCGCACGCCCCTCCTCACGGCCTTCGCGCCCCTCCTCACGGCCCTCCCGCCCCTCCTTACGGCCCTCGCGCCCCTCCTTACGGCCCTCGCGCCCCTCCTCACGGCCCTCGCGCCCCTCCCGACGGCCCTCGCGCCCCTCCTCACGGCCCTCGCGCCCCTCCTCACGGCCCTCCTTCACCTTGGACTTTGGCGCTTCCCGGTGCTTCTTCCGCGGCATCACTACACTGACGCCGCTTCCTGTTCCTGCCGCCATTTCTCTTGCTGACCCCTCCTGCGGTCCGGTAGTCGCCCGCTGTTCCACCACCCTTCCCTGTCCTGCAGTTCCTTCGGGCTCTCTTACAGGTCTGCATATCCCCTCGTTCTCCAGGAACCTAGTTGGTGTCGGCTGCCTCCAGGACCTTGGCATCGCCACTACGTTCCCTGGTCTCGAGCGGTATGCTGTCTGTACCGAGGCGACCACAGGTGCCCCCCTGTCCACGTTCCCCCAGGACCCGGTGTCCGGCCTGTTCACTCTGGACACCGCGACCCCCTCGGCTGGGGCCCCCCTTCAGGTCGCTGCTGCCTGCTCCTGTCGGTCCCTCACTCACCCGACCCTCCTTTGGCACCACCGCCTAGGTCACCCTGCGCTCCCGCGTCTGCATCACATGTCCCAGCACGGTCTCATCCTTGGTCTCCCTGGTTCTCTCCCCGCTTTTCCCTCCTCCCCCGCCCCCCCTTGCACGCCTTGCGTTGAGGGTCGGCTTCGCCGTGCCCCTCACTCCTCCTCGTTTCCCCTTACCGCTGCGCCGCTGCAGACCTTGCACATGCACGTCTGGGGCCCCGCCCCCGTCCATGGGCCGCGTCGAGAGCGCTACTGCCTGACGCTCTCATCCCTTGGCTTGTCTCTGCGCGTGTCCACCGAGGTCTCCCTGTCTTGCGTCTTCACTCCGACCGTGGTGGCGAGTTCGCCTCAGGTGTCCTTGGTTGCTTCTGTCGTGCGGAGGGCATCACCCAGACGTTCACCCTGCCGGACTCCCCACAGCAAGATGGGGTCGCTGAGCGACGCATCGGCTTGGTCCTGGAGGTTGCTCGCACCTCCATGATCCATACCGGTGCACCCCATTTTCTGTGGCCGTTCGCCGTGCGCTACGCTTCTCACCAGCTTAACCTGTGGCCGCACCCTCAGCAGCCGCAGGTTTCGCCGACCCGTCTTTGGACCGGATCACCTATTGAAGCGACTGCGTTCTACGTCTGGGGCTGCGTTGCTCAAGTTCGTGCCTCCGGCACGGACAAGCTCACTACCCGCACCCTTCCCTGCATCTTCCTCGGTTTTCCCCTTGACGCGTCCGACTGGCACTTCTACCACTCGCCGTCTAACCGCTTCTTTCACTCTCGCGACGTCACCTTTGACAAGTCAGTCTCCTTCTACCGTCGCTCCCCCCACCGCGGTCCCCCGGTTAATCCCCCCCTATTCCTGGTCCCTCCTTCCCTGGTGGTCCCTCCCCCCCCCTTTCCCCCTCCCCGTCCTGCCCCCTCTGGTGTGTCCCACATCACTCCTCTCCCGTCAGTTGTCCCGGTTGAGGGGTCTTCTGACTCTGGTGGTCCTGCGGCGCAGTCCTCGCCGTCTGCCCCTCCCCCGGCGTCCCCTCCTCCACCGCCTCTGCAGCCGCCGTCGCCTCTGCTGTCACCGACGTCGTCCCCGCCGCTACCGCCGCCGTCGCAGCAGCCGTTCGTTGCCTCTGGGGGTGCTGGCATTGGAGTGGGTCCTAGCTCCGGTGGCCCTGGGAGTGGTGCCGGTGCCTGAGGGGTTTCGGGCCCTCGGAGTGTTCCTTCTGGGGGTGCTGGAGTGGAGTCTGCTGGTGGTAGCTGAGGAGCAGCTTGCGGTCCCGGTGTCGGCGTTGTGCCGCCGCAGCAGTAGTCCCCGCCGGTGTCTGCCCTTCTCCTGCTCGGCGTTCCATCCCCTGACCCTTCGTCCGTTCCTCTCCTCCCGTCTCCTCCTCTTCCCGTATACGGCACTGTGTTCCCTGCGCCGGATTCGTTCCCGGCTCGTCTTCCCCCTCGCTCTCCCCTTATGTCCCCTCCTCTGTCTCCTGACCCGACTCCTCCGTCTCACGTCTGGTCTCGCCGTCCCTCCCGTGCTCGTCCTGTCTCCGCAGTCACGCGCTCTCACCCTATGTTGCTCCGTTCCCATGCATCTCTTCCTCCCCTTCGCCCGTCCCCTCCTCCGTCCTCCCTTGTCGTTGCTCCCCCCCCTCTGTCTGACTACCTTCGTGGCGCCCGTCCTCTCGTTCCTCGGGTCCTTGCCTCTCTCGTTACCGACCCGTCAGTTCCGGTCTCGTGTCTTGACGCTCTTGTCGCTGCGGTCACTGACTTCGCCAACGCTCTAGTCTCTGACCCTGCCAGTCCTCCGTCTGTCGGCGGTGCTCCTGCCCTGGGAAGTAACGTCCTGGAGGACCGC